GTGGTCGTGGTCATCGGCCACGGCCACGGCGAGCGGGGCGGCGGGGCAGGGCGGGCGAGGTGGCGGGGCGGGGCGGGCGGGCGAGGCGGCGGGTCGAGGGAGGGGGCGCGGGTGCGGGGAGAGGAGGAGGCTAGGGTTCACCACGGGGTCGGCCCTTTTATACCCCTGTGAGTGAAATGACGAAAATGCCCCCGGGGGCGCCGGAATTACGAGCGGTGGCACGAACGGGGTGAAATTGTTCATTGCAATAGTGCCTCCAAGTTGATCCGTCGGCGTAGGTCGTCCCAAGGCTCGATCCGATGGCCCAGATTGCATCAAGCAAAACAATCCAACGGTCAGAAATCGCTAAGCTCTGAGAGCGCTCGGTAAGCCTCAGATCCCTTATTTCTCAATTCCCTTCGTCCCATAATATAAAATGTTTTTACATTAATTAGTGTCAAAAATGAAGGGTGTATTATAGTAATAATTTTTGCTAACGCTCATCTCTTGTTTAGTTGGATGATTACTGGCGGGTAACCGGCCAGCCAGGGTTAATCACCCACCTTCATCCGCAAAAGCGCGTGTGCTCCACGTCCTTTGCCTCACCGAGCAACACGTGTACCCCCACAATGCTAAGCTGTTTCGTTCTTATCCACTCACGCGTAATTTTTTGTTTTTTGACTGTTGGTTAAGAACTCCGGTCCAATTTTTCAGAGAGCTCTATATTTTCAAGGTTGGTTTATAATACTAAAAATAATATCATTATTGTAAGCTGCTTTTCAAATACAAATTCAATAATATATATTTTTGTGACCTGTGTCTTCCTGGTCAAATTTTTGGTCAAAAGTTCAACGCAAAATAAGAAAAAACTTATAAACCCAGATGAATGATGTACCCGTTGCACAAGATGTTACTATACGTAATACAACCACATTGGTTCTTTGTGCCGAGTTTTGCCGTAGCCGCGATGTTTCGATTCATCATTTTTTTCTAAGGATTTCATCGCAAAGACAAGACTCATTTTTCTTTTGAAGTTACAGGACCGATTTTTCAATTTAGCAACACTTCAGTCGACTAAATTGACTTTTGGGTCAGTCGATTTTCATGAGGATGGGAGAGCTCGCCGGAGGGAAGGAAGAACCAGCCACAGCGGGGAGAGGGGCTCGCCGGAGAGGCTACCCCACTATCTATCTTAAGGTTCAGGGTGGGGCGGTGGTCGCTGGCGGTGGGGGGAAGGGGCGGTGGTGAGACAGTGGCGTGGGGATCGCCGAAGAAAAAGCTCTGCCCGGAGGGCCTAGAGAGAGGGCCGGGCCGGCGGTGGGGAGTAGTTTCGGGGAGGGCAGGACGCTGCGGGAGCGGCGGTGGCCGGCGGCTCAAGGGGTGGAGGTTGAAAATAAACTGCAGGTCCTTAATTTTGCATCCAACAACTGAAAAATCAACTGACCAGAGATGAAAAACTCAACTGATTGATTTCTAGCCGTTCGCCCATATTTTATAAAAACAGTCGTCCGTGGTACAAATATCCACTACTACCTTAAGGGGCACATCACTTGCCAGCCTGTCATCTCACCACCGGCCACATGATTAATCTAAGATGGAGAGGACCGGGATGATAAGTGCACTCAGCACCTGCTCCCTCGCGACTCACTCTCACCGGCCTACCAGAGTTGTATTTTGTTTCTCTATCCTATTAATTTACGTTGCTCTAGTGCAGTATAAAGTTATACTCTCTCTGTAAACTAACATAAAAACGTTTAGATCACTACTTTACGAAGGAATTACTAGACAACGTCAAGTAATGTGGACAAAAGAGAATTGTACTCTTTCCATTCCAAATTACTCGTCGTGATTTTAGTTCAAATTTAAACTAAAACCACGACGAGTAATTTGAAACGGATGGAGTAATTTTTAGTCACATTTTCCTCGTCGCCGTCACATCACTCTGTGTCAACCCGGCATCATTGTTGCCCGAAAAAGGAAGAAAATATCCTGGCATTTTGCCACTTGGTCACCGGATTGATTTAGGTTGGAGAGGCCGGAGGGAGCGGAGCGTGATGAGTGTAAGCAGCACCTGCTTCCTCACGGCTCACACTCACCGGCCTCCACAGACAGCTCACCAGGATTTAGACATGACCCCAGAATAAGATCCCCGAGGTTCCGCTAGCACTAACCGGCTGATTTGGTTGGGCCTCAATCGACCTGTCGACCATTTAATTAACTTACTTTGGCCCACCTTCCTCCGTCACATGAACCAATCAAAGTTTATCGCCTGTGTTCGCTTTAGATTGGATGAAAATTTTGTGTGCTGCCCAATATTTGATTCAATCTTAAGCTAAATATCGGGGAACACACTAATTTTACACACAATCCCTGCGGGGCCTCATATGGTCACAACGCATGAACGGATAGGATCTACTTTTGGAATCATCAACAACCATTATTTTTGTGTTTTTCGTGTCATCCGGGCAACTGAGTTACTACCTCCGTTTCAAAATAAGTGTCTCAATTTCATACTAACTTTAATATATGTCTCAACTTTGTACTAACTTTAGTATAAAGTTGTACTAAAGTTGAGAGTTGAGACACTTATTTTGGGATCGAGGGAGTTTTTTTAGGGAATGAGGGAGTATTTTCTTTGTTCAATCACATTTTTTCCCTTTTTTGTGTGTGTTTGCTTGTTTTTTCTTTCTTTTCCTACTCGGATATTCTTTCTTTGAGTGTATGTTTGTGTCTCGTGCATGTGGGCTTGTGTGAGTGTGTGGGTGTGTTTATCATATACCATCGACACGAAATATGTCGATTAATCTCCATCATACACAAATAAGTAGTATTATGCAACAGACAATTGTCAAAAAAAAAGTACAATTGTGTGCTTGTTCTTGCGAATTGTCATAATGTGAAAAGGTACAATTCTTGTGTAATTTATGTAAGTTTTTGCTATCATTTGTTTTATTTATTTTCATATTTGTAAGGGTAATGCCAATGACTTTTAGTCATTTTACTTAGAAAAACTTTTTAATTTTATTCTAGTTTGTGTTTAACTTTTGTATACATGTTTTGTTTATTAAATAGAAAAGTGACTGACACATTAAAAAATGATACCCATAAACAGTTGCCGCCTTATTTTTAAGTGGCCATTGACCCCCCCCCCCCTCCCCGCCCCCCTCTTCTTCTTTTACATTTTTATCTTAAACCTATCTTCCGTTGCTTTAAAAAGATGCCCCACCATGGGGCAGAGCCAGGATTTAGGTATAGAGAGGGGGCCACCGTTAAAAAAATGTCGATTGATATCATTATATCCTAACTAACTAATTGCCCGTACTTTGCAACAAGGGCATACATATATTCTAGTGTTACACCCCTAACAAACATATTGTAGTGATCTTTAAATCGAATGCTTGACGATATTATCCATAATTAACGTCCAGATTGATACTCTATAGGCTATGTGGTTCAATTAGTAGAGAATCTTACTATTAGTTTGTTCGAATTGCAACTGTAATCCTTTTTCAAATCCATTTTGTAATACCATGTGGAAATCCTAGTTGAAATTGATGTTAAATCTAGTATGAAAAAAATACCATTGTTGAGGTGGGAAACATGATGCCTTCACTGAAACGGGTCCCATGATAAAAATAATTATGAAGGCTACGTTGGCGGACGAAGCCTTTCTAGCCGCCGCCTCCTCCTCCTCCACAAAAAAACTAGGGTTTCTGCCTCCTGTCGACGCCGCCGCAAGTCCGCCTCCTCTGCGGTGGCCCTAGGGCCATGGGGGCACGTTGGATCTTGGCAAGGGCCGGTGGGAGGGCTCCGTTTCTAGTCGTTTCTTTCACTTTTACTAGGGTTTTTGTTCTGCTCAGAAAGACGAGACGACGGTGGCTCCATGAAGATGGAATAAAGGTCTCCCCGCCTAACCCCCGTTCTGGCGGTGCGTCTAGCACTGTTGGTGAGCGTGTGGAGGTGTGTCTCTGGCGGATTTATCTTTGGTGGATTTGCTCGGATCTCGTCGTTGTTCGTCTACGTTCATGTATCTTCGGGTTGGATCCTTCTGATCTACGTTATTCTTCATCTGCGGCGGTTGCTGCTCTGGTGTGCTGGTCCTACGGGGCCTTAGCACCACGACTTCCCGACTGTCTACTACAACAAGTTGTGCCCGACTCCAACGATGGAGGGGCGATGACGGTGGCGCGCCTTCGACTCGCTTCAGTGCTTGTAGTCGTCGTCAGGTGGTCTATGAATCTTGATGTAATTTCTATTATTTCTGGTATTCGTTGTACTGCCATGATCGGAGATAAATAGATTGGAAATTTTCTAGAAAAAAAAAACTACGTTGATAGCGTTCGTATACGTACGGAGTGAGCGTGCTCACGACCGCTGGAGTTGCTCTTAGTTTAGGGATTACTGCGTAGGAATAGGATAATTCCTTAAAATAGAAAAAACGTCCGTAAGTGGAGGGATTTTTGTTTACAAAGCCGTCCAAATCCATCATTTTCACAGGCTGTCAACGAACAGTGACGTCCTTTGATGTGTCTGCTTTCCTTCTCAAAAAATACAGTATCTTTGACGTGGATTCATGGAGTGCACGATACGCACTCGAGTTCAGTACCAATAATTTCTGTATTAAGCAATTACACAGGAGTATCCCTTTTCCCCAAAAGTAGAAACCGGGAACTCGACAAATACTAGTACTACAATGAAGAACAAACTGCCTACTCTGCTTCTTCCCAAATCGGGAAGAGCGCGACTATCTACAACTTGGCAGTAGTGCTAAATTAGTCGAACAAGCAGCTCCATAGTGGCGTCTGGACGCCGCTCTGCTCGCCGTGCTCCGGCCCCGCTCTTTCGTCCGGCGGCGCCACGAGCATCCCCTGCGCCAAGCTCGCGTAGTACGACCCGGCCTCCATGCCGCCAAACCACTGCTCCTCGTCCAGCTCCAACAGGTCGCCGGAAGACATGTAAAACTCCGGCGCCAGGCACGCGACTGGAAGAATGATCTGCTGCTGCTGCTGGAGCGCCACGACGGCGACGGCGACCGGAACCTGCAGCTGCTGGAGCGCCACGACGGCGACGGCGAGCGGGACCTGCTTCTGCTGGAGCGCCACCACGGCCACTGCGACCGGAACCTGCTGTTGCTGGAGCGCAACGACGGCGACGGCGACTGGAATGATCTGCTTCCGCTGGAACGCGACGACGGCCACGGCGACGGCGGCCTTGATCTCCCGCGCGCTGTCAAAGCCGAACGAGCCGGCCGCGAGCACGGGCAGCATCCGCCAGGCGGAGTCGGCGAAGTTGAGGCAGGCGGCGCGGCCGGAGAGCGCGAGCACCGCGGCGTCGTGCGCGCGCGCCGCCATCTCGGCCGTGTTGAAGGTGCCGAGCCAGAGCCTGGAGCCCTTGATCCCGGGCACGCGCACCTCGCACACCCACTGCCCGACGCGGCCACGGCGCCGCACGCCGCGGTACAGCGGGTGGCGCGTCTCGTGGAACTTGGTCCGCCCCGCAGGGCGCTTCGGCGGCTCCGACGACACCGTTCGGTGCCCCTGCTCCTGCTGGCCGGACCGGGAGGCGATGTCGGCGACGTCCATCTGAGTCGAGAGCTAGCGGAGATGCTCGTGAGAGGTGTGGAGTGGTAGTAGTGATGGAATCAGCGGCTGTGTTGAGAGGTTTTGATCGATCGGCGGATGGAGCTTGTTTGAGAAGAAGGGGAATGGAGACGGGGAGCATATATAGGCATAGGCAAGCGGTGGTTTCCTGGAAATGGCAAGTGGCAGAGAAGGAGTATGTGTATGTGTCACTCACGCTGACACTTGCGCCGGAGCACAAGGCAGCTTCATGGCGCGCCCCCATTTGTTTTACTATCATTTCCGCGACGCGCATCACTTGGTTGCTTTCCAAGTTTTAGCTGGATGAGATGTGATGGGTGGTGCGTTTACGTCTTTTGTTTAATTTTGTTTAAACAACATACTCTAGTTCACAAATACATACATACACATAGGGCCAACTCCGACACAATTGCTCCGCGTGCATCGGTTTGGATCGAAACAGACAGAAGCAACGGCCCAACGCATCATGCATGGGTAGATTTGGTCTGTTTGGTGTCTGTTTGAATGTATTTCTGGCTAAAATTTGCGTCCACATGGACGCGAGACAAACACGTCTCGCGTCCTCCCGGAGTCTGACTCGGGCCGCATGTCGGCTCCAACCATTCATCTTGGGCCCACACGTCAACCACTAGAAGTGTCCATGCCACGTCCTTTTTAAATAGGAGGGGAGGGTGGCTCATCCGCTTCTCGCCAAACAAGTCCACATGTAGAGTTTGCTCCTCCGCCGCCCAACACGAACCCTAGCTTGCTGTCATCGCCATGGGCTTCTTCAGCTGTGGCAAAAAAACGTCGCAAGCACGACCACGAGGCCGGCTCATCGCGCCGCCCAGCCAGCTTCACTTTGGTGCCACGGCGGACTGGCCGGGATGCCAACGCACCTGGCTACACATCTCGGTGCACCGTGTGCACTACCACTGGGAGTGCCGGACATAAAACTCCCGCACGGCTAGCACCTCGACCCCAGATGCATTCTGATGCCGGCCATACCGTTGTCCGAGCGCGCGAGCACTGGAGATTCGCAACCACCATGCCCTTCTCTCGTCGGAGCAACGACGCGACCCCACATACGCGCCGGAGTCCCCGAACTGGGACTTCTAGGTCGCGACAGAGTACTACGTGCGCCATCGTGGGGTCGTCCAGATGGATGCCCGCCCTGCACCATCGGCGTTCGTGGTGCGGGAGGAGGATTGGGCCGCATTCCAAGCGGCCCTCGAGGAGGCGACGCGACGTGTCATGGAGGAATCCGTGTGCATGAAGAATGCCATTTGGCCTGGCCTGGAGCAGGCACTCGAGGAGTCCGCATCCGGTGGCCAGGCACCACCACCGCCACCACCACCGCTACCGCCCCGGCCGTTGTCCCTCCAGAGCTACATGTGGACGTGCGTTGGCAATGGAGCGGGCGAAGGCGGAGCGCCAGATGTAGTGGGAGAACATGGAGGAGGCCGAGAGACGCGAGCAGGGAGAGATGGCGGCGTGCGGCGCCAGGCAGCGCAACAGCAGACGCCGAATGCTGTGGCGCTGGAGGCCTACCAGCAGGCATTCCCAAGGGCGACGCTGTCGGCATTCGTCGACCTGGCCATCGAGGGCAACGACACCTAGGGCTACGGGCTGGACGAGGCGGGCGGCTACGAGTTACTTTTTTAGTTTGAATTAATGTTTAAATTATTATATAAGTGGACTTTGACCAACGTTTTAGTATGCATCTTTTTATTTTAAATGTTTTATTTATGTCTATTTAGTTTTTTAGTTGTCATGCCGACCAAATCCGTCGGCTACGTTGGACGCACCGACGCCTCAGAGCCCAACCGGACACACTCCGGATGACTCAAACGGACAGACAAAAACTACTATCGTTTGCGTCGATAGGTTGGAGTTTGGCATCCACGGACAAAACTTGAATCCGGATGTGCTAGTTCCACCGCGAGGAACCAAAGTGACCTACGTGGAAGCCAAACAGTCGCCACCTACCGGACTGCTGCGTCCCGCCTACACGCCACGCTGGCTGCTTGCCGCATTCTATCTGGACGCTACCACTGCTGCCTTTGCTGTTCCTTCTCTTCACGTGATGCTTGTCGCCGCCTCCTCTCTTCTTCGTACTCCCTTGGTCTTATAATATAAAAACGTTTTTGATACTAGTATAGTGTAAAAAACATTTTTATATTTTAAGACAGAGGAAGTAGTTACGTACAATGGTGAACTGCTGCCGAAGGAGCAGGCAAGGTAAATTTCCATTGCTATGTTAACTTGATTCAGATTGGCACGTACTCCCTCTGTTTCAAAATAATTTGAAGTCTTAAGTTTATTTTGAGTCAAATTTGCTTAAAGTTGACCAACTTTAGGGGAAAAATATGACAAGACCGACAACACCAAACAAGCATAGTGTGAAAATAAATTTCATAAAATATCTCATGAGACTAATTTGATGTTCTAAGTGTTAATACATTTTTCAATATTTCGAAACGGAGATAGCATAACAAAAAAAAAAACTAGATTCAGATGTGTCACCCATGGGACCAAGTACGTCCGTCTCTAACTCTAAAGTGACACATCACCCTTTGTCATCCTGGCATCACTGTTTTTATATAGAGGAAAAGGCGCCGGAGTCGCCGGGGAAGAAATAATCACCGGGACAAGAACCTTTCCCCCCGAACAAATGGGCAATGGGACTAAGGCCAACTTCATCGCGCGACCCCATCCCGTCCGGCCCCTGTCCGTTTGAGGTAAACTGGACAAATCGAGCGGCCCAGCGCGTGACGGCCCGGATCTATCTTTTTCGTTTTGTGTCCGGGCCGACCCATTTCGAGCGCAAACATGCGTCAGGTTTGGGTCGCGGTGGACAGAAAACGGACGCGCGCTCGTCCGCGTCGGGACCGTGTGACAGGCGGCCACCTACCTCCCACTGCCCGACATAAATGCGCACGGGTGGTCGACCCCACCTGCCATCCGCACAGCAAACGGTCGCTTTTCCTCTTAAATGGGGAAGTCGTGGACCGGCCGTCATCCACACTCCCCAGTCAGGCCCTTCCTGCCTTCTCGAGACCAACACCCCAAACCCTAGCCCTCTCCTCGTCCCCGATGTCGCCAGCCGACCATCTCGCAACCGTCATGGGCTTCTCGAACCACGGCCGCAAGGGGAAGCACGACCGCGAGGCGTTGTCGTCGTCGGGCCGCCGCCGCGGCTCCGTGAAGGAGGAGCCCGCATCACCGCCACCGCGTCAGACCCGTGCTTGCCCCGTTCACCATCGGCCCAACGGCCGGCGGCGTGCACGGCTGGCAGTACATCGCGGCGGATGTATGCCGCCGTTATTGGGAGAGAAGGACGCCGCTCCCGTGGAGCGACGTGCACCTCCCCAGTAACTGACACCTCTCCGCCGACCGGGTGCCGTTCCCGCCGGTGCCGCAGAGCGACCGTGCGCACCGCGAGGAGATCCAGCACCGCCGCTGCCTCCTCCCCGACGACCTGTACTACGACGACAGGTACGCCCCCGACTCACCGCTCTGGGACACGTGGCTCCAGGACGAGCACGATGTGCGGCGCGCGTCGTTCTTCGCTGACACGTTGATGGGGCCGATGCGGCCACGTCTAGAGTGCGTAGCGCGTGCTCCCCAGGAGCGCGGGCGTACGCGGGTGCGCGGCCTCACGCCCACGCCGTCGCCTTCACCCTCTCCGTCGCCACCACCACCTCCTCACATGAGAACGGAGGAGGAGGCCCGTCTCATGGCGCGTGTCATGGAGGACTCCATGCACACGCACGACGAGCGCCAATGGGAGGGCCTCGAGGAGATGATGGCCCTCTCTGTGGCCGGCGACGTCGCCATCCCCGAGCTAGACATGGTGGCCACGGAGGAGGCGAGGGAGGAGGAGCTGGTGGCCGTGTTCCACCCCGGCCTGGTGGGCCAGCAGTGGAGCTGGTCGTGCACCGCGCTGGAGATGGCCGACGCCATGGGGAGCGTGAACTGGTGCCCCACGTCGCCGCGGTCACTGGAGGGGGGACGCGTCGCCACGGGAGGAGGTGGTGCAGCCCCCCGCCTTCCAGCCCGCCCCCGCATACCACGGACCACCGGCCCACCTCTGGATGCCGCCGGAGTACGCGGACCTCGTCAGCAACGACGGCGACACCGGCGGCCACTGAAGACGGCGACGGCAGGAGCGCACGGGCGGCGTTTTTTAATTTTGTTTTTAATGTTAATTATGGCACTGGGCGGTTAAGTGAACCGTGAAACTGGGCCGTTTTATGGCCGTGACCCCTAACTAATGTTTTATATTTTTAAACTGCGTTCATTTACTTTTTTAGTCATTTTATTTAAGTTTTTTTTTAATCACGTCCAGCACGGACATGATTTGGGGACGGCCGCGCGATGGGCGCACGCACGATCCAACGGACAGAAGCGGACATGGATGAACCCATTGCCGCCCCAAAGGGACAAAATTCGGCCAAACCAAATTTAGGGTCTTGCGGTGGAGTTGGCCTAAATACACATAACCAAAGTGGCACATCATCCTGTCATCATTGTTGCCAAAAGAAGGAAGAAATACCCTAGCATCCTGCCACTTGGCCACATGAAGTGAGACAGCGACGTAGTGTGGCCACTTGTCCGCGGCAGCTGCTTCCTCCTCACACTCACCTGCCTCCACTTGAGTGAGCTCACGTAGCGTGGCGACGAGGATTTTGACACGAGTTCAGGAAAAGATATGGTTGGGCCGCCACCCGTCGACCACATATTTTATACACTAATTAGCGTCCTCTGGTCCACCTTCCTCCGCCACATACATGAACGGATAAGACCTATTTTTGGAATCAATACCGGCTAGTCCAACGTCAGCGCCATTGTTTTCCTTCAAGTGGTGGTCGATGTTTCCCTTTCGCCGCGGTTTTTGCGGCTTAAAACTGTTCTCCGCTCCGCTGCTTTAGAAAAAGCGCCTCCGGGGAATAGAAATGTGAAGCTGTCATGTCGCTTAGCCGAACCTCCGAGAATAGAAA